TAAAAATTATCAGAATAGCTGGATGTGAGGACCAGGTCCTCAGCAGGAGAGGCTTTGTTTAATGAGATGTCATGAAGAGCAGTGTGTTAAGCACGAAGCAGCACCCACGTGTCATGAAAATGGTAGGCTCGCCTTCCCTAGGCAATGCTGGTTCCAAGGCATGTTATTACACCAATTCTTCTTTTCTTCATTTGAACTATTTTTAGGATGAAAGCTACTTTCAATCACATTCTTCTGGAGGCATTTAAGGTCTGGGCTCCCTTTTTCCCATTCAGGAAAGTTCTGTTTTGGCCTGTTGTACTTAATGAACTCCTGGGTAATCTTTTGTTTTATTCAAGAATTCTACAGCTGAAGAGTTTGTAAAACACTAACCTAAGATACTGAAAGGACCAAAGTTTTGCCTTCCTGAAGCTGCTTTTTTGGGATACAGATTCTCAATTGTTTATTAAAAAACAAAAGACTCAGAAGGAAACACTGACCCTCCCCCCCCTTTCCCACCCAAGAGACTCAGACAGAAACTTGCTTTGAGAAGGGAGCCTTGGCTTAATCTCCTTAAGAATCTTCACCCTAGCGTCAGTCAGGAAGACTCCAGGCTTGTTAGCTAGATCCCCTCACCCACTGTGTCCCATTGTTTCTGAGTTGCCTAGAAAGAATATTCCTGCCCATGTGTTTCCCTCTCCCTCAACTACCTGAAAATCGCCCATTCTCACTCCTAAAATCTAAGCCTCCTCCCATACCCTCCCATTTCTCTTTTGTCCAAAAATGTCTTATATACCCAGTGTTGCTTCACTGTCTTTGGAATTTTCACAACTATGTGAATTTCCCATGCACATGTATTAAAAATTTTACTTTTCTCTTGTTAATCTGACTTTGTTAATTCAGCCTAGAAAAACGTAGAAATTGAGAGCAAAAGTATTTATATTTTTAGCCCCCTACAACATACATGACATTTCAATGGCTTGACCTTGTGAACATCCGTTTTATATATAGCGGGGTTTCTCAACTCAAACCTAAAGACATGTTGGGGTGGTCATGTCTTGGCTGTGGGGACTGTCCTGTGTATGGCAGGATGTTTAGCAGCATCCCTGGTCTCTACCCACTATATACTAGTGGCATCCCTCCCAGATCCTCTGGTCATGATAATCAAAAATGTCTCCTTAGCCCTGGCTGGCATAGCTCAGTGGACTGAGTGCGGGCTGTGAACCAAAGCGTCGCAGGTTCGATTCCCAGCCAGGGTACGTGCCTGGGTTGCAGGCCATAACCCCCAGCAACCGCACATTGACGTCTCTCTCTCTATCTCCCTCCCTTCCCTCTCTAAAAAAAAAAATAATAAATAAAATCTTAAAAAAATGTCTCCAGACATTTGCAAATGTATCTGGGTGAAGATGGCAGGGGGTGGGAGTGGGGCGGGGAGGGAGGGTGGATTCTCCCCCTTTCCTGTTAAGAGCTACTGATACAGAGGTCTTACAGGATGGATTCTAAGCTCAGATCCTAATCTACTTGTGGCCTGTTGTTTTATATCAGCTTCTCCATTCTCTTCTACTATGACCATGTTAAACATTTCCTAGCACTGTAGTAGTGCTGATTTTACCTTTATGGGTAGGAAGAAAGAAGCAGGCTGAAGAGTCTAGCACAAGTCTGGGTATTTGCCCACCATACTTCTAAATTAACAGGAGAAAAGGACTGCTTAGTTACCTAAAGTACAAGGTGGAACAAGTTTCTAGGTACAAGCTTAGGAATTTCTGTACCTGAACATATCATCTGTTTCTCTGGATGCATGTATTTTTTTAGAAAGCTATATATAAATAAGCATAAATCCCCAAAAAGAAAAAATTTAATTTATAAGTGATTAGCTTGAACAAACCATTTAAAATTTCAATACAAGTTCTGCTACTGTGGTGACTAAAAAAATATAAATACTTTCCACCCACTTTCTAAGAGCTTCTGGCTGGGCTAATAACAAAATTAAAGGAGACAGATTAACAGGAAGAAATACAAGTATAATACATGCACATGGGGAATTCACATAGGCATGATAAATCCAAGAAAATTCCAGACAGTGAGGCAACATTGGGTATATGAGACATTTTTGGAAAAAGGAGAAAAGAGGGGTGGATAACAGGTTATTGGATTTCAGAAGTGAGAATGGACAATTCACAGGGAGCTGAGGGGGACAAAACACACATGGCAGAAAAATCCTTGCTGGGTGACTCAGAAACAATGGGGCACAGAGGGTATCTAGCTAACAGGCACCTGCCTGAAGTTGTCTTGTTTACCATGCTTAATTCAAATTAGGTGAAAGGGAACATTGTAAGACCTCCTTCCTGGAGCTCCTGTTTCTGAATCTCTTGGGCAGAAAGAGGTGGGGGGAGGGTCAAAGGTTCTTTCTGAGCCTTTTGCTTCTTAAAAAACAGCTTACAATCAACATGCCCCAAAGCAGCTTCAGGATGGCAGAATCTTGGTCCCTTCACTACCATCAGCCTCCTTCATCAATGGGTTTAAATCCTTTTACAATATCAGTCAAATCTTAATATGCAGAGAAGGCAAGGTGGACACAGATGAGTTATACTTTCTAAAGACTCTCAATCCTGGATTGGAGTTAGAAAGCTAGGCTTTCTAAAAATGCCTAATGTGTCACAGATGCAGTGTAATCTGAAATTTATAATGCTCTGGGCCAGAAAGGTAGCCTCCTAAGTAATATGTTTGGACCATGTTTTGACTAGTAGTTTGTTAGTCTCTCATTAGCCACCATTTATTTTGCATGTTCTAAGGCTTCTTTAATCCTAGAGACCTTCCTTCAGGCTTTAATGTCCTGTTATCTGTATTTTGGTATTTATACAATATTTCATTCCTCAGATGTGGAACAGCAGCTCCTGAGGTCATTCAAAGGCCTCTGGATGAAGCTGTACTGCCCAGGTAGTGGGAACATCACCATGAACTTACCTGACTCTTAAGAACTTCAATGACTCCAAGATAGGACACAGTTGGTGGCCTCTGGGTCCATGTGCCCACAGCCAACCATTCTTAAGGCTGTTATGTTACATGTTTTTTAGAACTAAACATAAGATTTGCTATTAACACTGTTTTTGTTCACATTTTTTAAACTGAGTTGCCTTCTGAAGAGAATATTTGTACTTCCAGGATTTAAAGTATGCAAATTCTTCTGCAGCAGGAACACTATTAAGCCCACAGCAATGTACACACACAAAAAAGGAAAATCCAAGAACTGTCACAAATAAGTAAGTTCAGAAATTCTACAGAAAATCATACCATCTACAAAATTTATAATACAATAATCTTTTACACACTGGTATATTCACAATGAAGATAAATATACAGGATGCAGCATGTAAAAGATAAGAAATTAAAATAGAAATAATGGATAAGGCATGGATGTTTTTAAGTAATTTCCTTTGTCATAATACTACTCTATTAAACTCTACGGCTAAGTAAATATTTGTTACCTATGCCTCAAACTCTTTTAGGAATAACAATACCAATACAAAAATGGACTGTGATGATCTCTAAATACATTTTTATAGAAAGATTGGCTGAAAATATCAGAAAGTTACAAATTTTATGTCAGGCCTATTAACTAAAACTACATGCTCTATAAGCACAACCAGTACCTATACAGTACCTGTATAGTTAGAACTGTACAGAATAGTTAACTCTTTCATGGATATCTAGCATTGGATCCTCACAGTTGCCAAATTTCCTACTGCTAATTTGGGCCAGTGAGCATAAAAGTCATTAGATTTATTTCAAATTGTTTTTTTGAGGAGGAAATGCTAGAAGAACACAGCCAAAAAACAAACAAACCTACCTTAAAATAGCAAAGAGAAACTTACATCTATATAAAAGGGGGCTGACTATACCTATAATAAGTAGTAAAAAATTTTTATTAAAGTGTAATACAAAAAATATTAAAGAGCTAAAGTTAATCTATCCTTCCTTGAGGACTTTACCTTTCAATATTAAAAAGAAGAATTTTAAGCAAAATAAATTGCCCAAAATAAAAAATTCAAAACTGGTAAATAGTGTCAGGAAAACAAATTACACTATAGCTTAATCTATAGAGTCATAAACTATTTGACATTATTTTTCAAAACACATAAACAACAAATGTTATATCACACTTATTTTTTAGGCTAACCTTCCAAACTAAGTAAACTTCCTCCTGTGAAGGAAGAGGAAGAGAGAATATATTTAAGGAAGCTGCCACTACTCAAAAACTAAAAGGAAAATAAAACAACAATGAACAACTGTGTTCTCAATAGCTAATACCTAAACTACCAAATTAAAACTCATAATGTAAAAACACCATCACATATATTAATGCTAACTTTTGTATTTAAAGTGATAGGCAGCAGTTACCCCCCAATATCGTTCTTATCCAGCTGAGCTGAGGGATCTAAGGAAGTAGCACCAGCATGCACGGAAGCCTGATAAAACAGAATCCCAGAGTCACAGAAAAGGGTTGAGAGACAGAGGAGTGAGAAACAAAGTCCAGTATCTGTTCATTTAAACCCAAGCATTCAAAGGAATGAAATGATAAATTATCAATCTAGCAATTTATTTATGACACTTCATCTGAGCCATCTCAGTAATCTTCATGGGTTGCATTAAAAAGTCAGACCCATTTTAAGACCCTTTGGGAAAGATGATCCACAGTAAATACTGTTACCTCATCAGTGGGAGGTAGATTTTTGCAAAACAAATATTCTCTTCTCTGCCCTAACGTACATTTTATGAACAAAAATCTATAAAAATGGTGTATAATTTATTTATAGAAGAATGGGGCAGGAAATAATCAACTTTTTCAATATACTTTCCTTCACAAAGCAGGAGTCATAGCATGTAAGATAAGTTCTATATGGGAGAATGAAATCTTTTCCCTATTTACCTTAATATTTGAATACAATTTTGAAAATTGTGGAATGAAATAGCAAACAATGGTACATACGGTACTGGTAAGGCAATTAAGAAACTTAACTCACCATTTTTTAGGCTTTGACAATGGTTTGTATTTGCTGTATTTTACACGCCATTCAAGAACTTCTTTACAGCGCTGACATACTCCATCATGAAGTTTTTCATTAATTTTCTTCAAAACAGAAAGAAAAGCAAATTGAGAATTTCATCTGTGAGCCAGCATTACAAACCCCAGGACAAAGGCACACAAGAAATTTAAATTAAAAAAAAAAAAAAATAGTAACCTAACTGTGATCTGTGTTAATACTTTATGATATGTATTTTTACATACATTACTCAATTCTCTCTTTACAAACCAAAGATTCTTAACAGGTGTAGCTCAGAATCACCTCTACGAAATGTTTTAACCGGCTGGCAGGAGGATTTTGAGAAAGACCACACACTGATTCTGATGTGTACATATGTACATACATATGTTAAAACTAAAACTGCAGAATTAAGATACGTGCATTTTACTATAAGTTATACCTCAGTAAAAAAGCAATAATAAAGAAGAAAACCTAATTCATATTTTAAGACTATTCTTTTGACAATTCAAATCTTATCGTTGAGAAATAAGAAGTTAGACTCAGAAATTAGGTAGTCCTAACTGGTCCACAGGGGAGAGCGGGGACTGAAAGCTGAGAAAGGAGTGCCAGGGAGAAGCCCCTGCAAGCAAGAAGGCATTTAATTATTCAACTTAATCCTGTTGTATTCTCATGTAAAAAATGGTTTAGAAAAGTTACCTCGTAATATGTCTTTATTAAAATAAGTTCTAATGGGAAAAAGAAAAATTACCTTGCTAATCTGGCTTCTTCAAAGCAGAAAATAAATATGCACATGTAAGTAGCTGTGGCGGGAAAAGGGCTGTAGGAGGGGGAAAAAACATTTTTAAAATAATTCGTTTGATTCAGGACCTACAGTAAGTATTTTCACTAGGTACTCTGAGAATTCTATAACTTACGTGCAGTGGAAGCCTGCTCTTTACTTATTGCTAGAATAAACAGAATGAGTAGAGGACATTTAAAGTTTTCTTTGCTTTCATTTCTCAAGAGGAAAAAGAAAAGCATCACAAAAAAAGCAGATTCTATGGAAGGTTATTTGATTCTGAGTTAAATAAAAGTACAATGTTTAGTGATCACCTGAAACAAAACTTCCCAACAGTGCTTGTTACTCTTTAAAGTTCTAAACAAGAAGGCAAAAATAATTTCACAAAACTTTTATTCAAAGAGAAAATATTTCAAGGGTATTTTCACACCATAAAGTAAGCTGTGAATATATTATGCTTGAATTTAACTCTAGTGAAAAACATAAATCTGTTAGTCATGAACTGAGTATTTTCTTTCTTCCCGACTTAGAAGGAGTCTCTGGGAAAACATATTCCGCATGCCAGTATATTCCTTCTTGCTGTGGTCTGCTAGCTATGGCCACAAGCAGGAAATCTGTGCTTGATATCAAACTTCTCTTCTTATGCTGAGAAATACCCAGAACAAAGGTTCACATTTCATCTTTTGTTCCCACTGCCCGTGGTAGCCTACAGTATCTTACTAGAAGCGTTACTTAGATTTTCATAACTCTAGCAATGGGAACAAGCCAATGACTTGATTATGATTACAAAATGAACAGAATATAACTTTCTAATTAGAATACTCTTAAATGCACAGCTTTTCTTTACCTGCAATTTTATTATATATGACACTGCTTGTTAATGAGGAAGCATTATGTGGTCTCGTTTGTTTCTGTATCCAGTTTCTGACCAGTTCATCTTGATTTACAAAGCTACGCAGGGTTCTGAAACTGGTTTCTTTAGGTGGATCAACAGTAGAACAAAACAGGTCTTTGTGGGAACTTGTCCTGTGAGTGATGTGTGAGGCAGTATAAATGGAGATGCTGTACAGAGCTCACATGACTAACAGGCACTACCAAAACTTAAACTTGATTTTCATGTGTTAAGAAATGAACGGAAGTCAGAGTGAGAATAGTACAATCACTGAAAAATAGTTTCAGAAAGAGAGAAAATTGTACATCTTGTTTATTGTGTTTTGGCAAACCAGAAAAAGTGAATTCCAGAGATGTGAGCAATGAAAGCTAAGTCTTAGTTCTAGGAATCATTCTGCCTGGGGCAAAAAAACATGGCAATGCTGTTTACAACTGTTAGGGCAATTAATTTTAGCATATTCCTCATGGTTGAAGATTCCATGGAAATGGATTTTCAACAGCAGTTAGACTTGGAATTTTACTTGAGAATTTCATTTGAAAAATGTTTTTATTTATTTTTAGAGAGAGAGAAAGAAACATTGATGTGTTGGTCCCCTTACTGATATATTCATTGGTTGATTTATGTATGTCCCTTGACAGGAACCAAACTCTCAACCTTGGCATATTAGGACAACATTCTAGCCAACTGAGCTACCTGGCTAGGGTTAGAAAATTTTATTTTTTAAACCTGTTTTTTTAAACTAATTGAGGGGAGTAAAACATACCACTGTTCTAATGTTAGCATTTCTGAAAAACTTATGATGTACAGAGAATCCTGGTCAAAGATTGTATTAGTTAGCATTGAATGATACTCAAATTCCTTTCCTCCCACAACAGTATAATCCCTGTTAAAAGCAGTGGTCCCCAAACTTTTTGCCACCACAACCCATTTTGTGGAAGACGATTTTTCCAAGACTGAGGGGATGATTTCAGGATGATTCAAGTGCATTATATTCAAGCGCACCTCCTGCTGGGCAGCCAGTTCCTAACAAGACTGGACCAGTCAGGTAGTGGCCCAGAGGCTGGGGACCCCTGTGTTAAAGGATACTTTTTGTTAAGATTATTAATGATAAGATGTAAGCATGCCCAGATATAAATTCAAAACTTAGTTCTGTAAGAACAAAATCCTTGAAAGATCATTTAACTACCTACTCTTCAGATCTTTAAAAGAAAAAGATCTTCAATGGAAGATTCCACTGAACTTAAGAATCTTAGTAAAAGAAGAAAACTTTCTTTTCCAGTGAATCCTTTTTAAAAAAACATTACAATAAACTTAAGCTGTATCAAAAGATACTCCTACTTAATATATATATGAAGTCTTAAAAATGTCTTGGTTACTACTAATTCATACAACATATTTTATATTAAATGTTATCCCTGCTTTAAAAATCTCTGCTGTCAGACAATTCATCTTTGGTAATGTAATGCAGCAATTTGAAAAAGAAATCAGGTTGAGGACTTCAACTCCCAAGAAGGTAGAAGAGTAACTTGAAAAAAATATATATTTTTATTTTAGCCATTCAAATACATGTATATAATTACTTCATTATGTTATTTAAAATCTCCCTAACAACTAATATGTTGAGCATCTTTTCATGTGCTTACTGCCATTGTGTATTTTCCTTAGTGAAAGGTCTATTTAAACCTTCTGCTCACTCTTTTAATTGGGTTATCTCTTTTCTAAATGACATGTGAGGGCTAACTATATATTCTGTATACCAAGTCTTTATTTATTAATAAGTGCTTTGCAAATATATCCCCCCAATCTGTACTTTTATTTCCATTACCTTAATAGTATTTTTTCTAAGACCTTTCTAATTTCTTTTTTTCTTTAAAGATTTTATTTATTTATTTTTAGGGAGGGAAGGGAGGGAGATAGAGAGAGAGAGAGAGAGAGAAAGAGAGAGAGAGAAACATCAATATGCGGTTGCTGGGGGTTATGGCCTGCAACCCAGGAATGTACCCTGGCTGGGAATCGAACCTGGGACACTTTGGTTCCCAGCCCGCGCTCAATCCACTGAGCTACGCCAGCCAGGGCTTAGACCTTTCTAATTTCAATGAAAAACAAATTTTCAATTAATTCTTCCATGCACCATCCTTTTCATTTCAAGTCCAAAAATTTTTAAAGAATCATGAAAATTTTCACCTATGTTTTCTTCTGGAAGTTCAGTAATTTTAGGTTTTACATGTAGTCTATGATCCATTTTAAGTTAATTTTTGTACATGGTGCAAAATACTGATAGAGGTTCTTTTTAATTATATATGTATGTCCAAGTTCCAGCAACATTGAACTGCATTTGTATCTTTGTCAAAAACTAAGTGTGTGTGGGTCTATTCCTGCACACAATATTCTATCACATTAATCTATGCATCTATTCTTTTACCAATACTACCCTGTCTAGGTCACTATAGCTTTAAGGTTTTAAGGTTTTAAAATCAGTACTGTGCATCTTTTCGCTCTGCTCTTCTTCAACATTATTTAGCTATTCTAATTCCTTTGCCTTACATTTTGGAATCAGTTTGCAGTTTGTTGATTTCAATCAGAAAGCCTGCTATAATTTTTCTTTGTTTTTATTGTTGACACTATTAAAGATGTCCCTCAGTGATAAGATATTTTTCTTTATCTGTATTTTTACAAAATATCAATGTGAACATGAGCATTACATATGTGTTCACATTATAGAAATTTTATAACAATATAGATAAAGAAAAATGACCACTCATCGGTGAGATTCTATATTTTTTCTAGTATTTCAAGCACATATATATTTACAAAAATATGCATTGTTTCTGCACATGTTGTTTTACAACTTGTTTTGTCCTTAATTTTTTCACACTAGTATACATATGTACATATATACTTTGAAAGCATGTTTTTATTGGCTGCATTATATTCTCTCAGAGAAACACTGTAATTTATTTAACCTATTCCCTATAATTTGACAATTTTGTAGTTTCCAATATCTGACTGAATGCATATTTTTTTAAATGCAGTATGTTATATGCATGAGGAAATTTCTAATGAACCTGTAAATTCTCATCACATTATACTTGCACGTAAAAAGTTCAGTCCCATTTCAAGAAGACAGTAAAAATAAGAGGAATTTATCAGAGACAAAAACTCATAGTAAAGAATAATTGTCTCTTTCTTGAATCAAGTACACAATTATTTGGATACTGAAGAAGCAAATGTTTCCTAATATCATCTGTAAAAATTTGCTTTGCTTTTGTATTAAGGCAGCTGAAATACAAAAATAGAAGACATAAACATTTTTAAAAATAGAAGACATAAAAATAGAAGACATAAAAACAGAAGACATAAACATTTTCCTTTTAAAAAGGGGGATTAAAAATATTTTTGCTATAATCAACTTA